GCTCGCCCCGAGGGATCCGTCATCGCTTCGCTGTTCCAAAAGTCGTTGGGCGTCTCCTTTGATGCTGGCCTCTCCTTCGGTGCCTTCAAGATTGTCATAGGCGTATCCAGCACGCTTTCCGAGTAGTGCAGGTTCTTGCCGCCCGCAGTCCCTGGTTTTGGACGGGGTACCCTGTTGTGGGACACCAGGCGGTCGGCCTCGTCGACCAGGTCATCCTTCCTCATTTGCTCGAACAGGTTCTGCTTGTCAAATTTCGCTAGGCTGCTTTCGAAATCGAATTCGCCCATCTCCTGGACGTCGGTAACGTCTTCGGAGGCCCACCCATTGTCGACAGCCTGCGGGCCTTTGCGGTTCCGTTTGAGTGAGTTAAATGGTTGGAAAGATGCCGTGCTCTGCAAGATGGGTGTCTGCCTCCAACCCTTTCCTTTCCCGGCAGTTTTTGGCGCAGCCGTAGCCGCCGGCAAAACTTCGTAGTCGTGTTGTGATACCGCCTTTGCATTCCCCGGCTTCCTCTGTCGTCGCTTTTTCTTCTGGCCAGCCGTCTCGCCGTAGTCCAGGGCGGCTTCGGCAGCCCCCTCCTCGGCCGGCTCGGCGGGTACGGGTACGGATACGGCTACGGGCACGGTGGGAGCGTCAAGCTTCAGTGCCTTTAGAGACGCGGCGACCAAATTTGTGGGCGTGACCTCCCTGGATGTACCCGCGGCTGGCACCGAAGGGATAACGACGTGCCCTGGGTCCCGCTTCTCGCTCGTATTCGGCAACGGATGGGGCTCGGGCGCACGAGTCGATGATATAGCAGCCGGAGGCTTCCCCATGGCCACGATCGCGGGGTCAACAAATGCCGGTTGCGGGGCGGCCTGCTGGGAAACAGGAGGAGGAGCGACGGGTGGTATATTCGGCTGGGCGACAGAGGCGGCGACGGGCGGCGTAGGGTTGGCACCGACCTCAGAAAGGTCGATGATGTCCTCCGAAGGGATAGTGAGGCGCGGCTTCCACTCGCTGGTATGGAGCATCCAAACTATGCAAAGGCGGGTTAGTTCGCAGCCTCCTAAGAAGGGTGGCGGGCGGGAACTCCTGGCTGTGTGCACTCACCGTTGCTGAGAGTTAGGCCAGTGCCAGCTTCAACAGCGCTGACGGTGCCTTTGAGGAGCATTGGCGGAGTGCCTCGCACCGTCACCACCATCTGAAGTCCAATAAATTCCGACGCCATGGCGACAGAATCGAGGGGTGTTTCGGGAGCTGAATGCTGCTTGAGCTGTCTCTGAGCAGGAATCGGCGGATTCGCGTGCTCAGTCGGAAACTTTGTTGTAGTGGCGGAATTCGCACTTAGGCCTGCTGTCGGGGCAAAAGCTGTGCTATATCCCTGATGAACGGTCCGAGCGCACTTCGCAGCGTATTTTCGAGGTTATTTTGCCAGGCACGATGGGAGATTGAGGGTGGTCGTGCTTGCTTGTCTTCCGTCTGCATACTCCCCAAGGGCACCCTAACCTTTTGCTTATCGATACATCTTTGCGCAGAGCGCCCAGATCTGCAATGTGGGCTGCGCCAAGAACCGGCCCGGAATATGCGGGTAGGGGTTTGCGGGGCACACGCACAGAGGGGTTACACACAACTTCACCGCATAGACGGTACCTTGCATCACCGGGATGGAATCTTTTGTTGTTGTTTTTGTTACTGACGGATGGCGGATTGGCTCTCTTTCTTTGAATAAACCACAGTTGCAAGGAAGGTGTGTTTGCATACAAACAGTAAACAATGTATGCCAACCATTTGTGGGCTCAAGCAAGCCTGGTCTCGCTTTTTCAGTTCTTGAACCCTTCATTATCATATTTGACTCCCGATCCAGGAGTATGCATACTCATACATCTAAAACCAGCAGGCATTTGGATAAATTTCATTCATGCTTGAATGACTCGCGAGCTTATTCTTCTCGCCTTTCTCCCACCACCCCCTCCCCCCACATGCCATTGAGTAGGGAAGTTAACGCTGCCTGTCGCCATCCCAATGTAACTCAGAGAAAGAATACATAAGACTCTAAACGACTAACCGCCTTGTGCCCTCCGACGCCAAGTGCAATACCCGCCACATTGTATGATGCGATCCCTGATAACTCTGCGCCACCATGCTACTACACAACCACACTACTCCTTAGGCATACAACTCCATATCCTCCTTTTGGTCATCGCCAGATAGCTTGACGGGGTTTCAGGAGGAGGCGCCAGCTGGTACCGGCTGCTTGACCGTATAATTCGTAATCGGCCCGGCCGCTTTTTTCTGGAGCGCCACCTCAACGCTATAGAGCTTGTCGTAGAATTCCACCACGCGCGAGTGCGCCATCACCCTTGTCTTCTGGAAGTTGAGCACCTGGAGGCCCTCCTTTGACGTTGCGCGACTGAGCGCGACGTAGGCCTGCCCCTTCTCAAACACCTTGCCGAGATCGACCTTGACTCGCTCCAGGGTCTGCCCCTGGGCCTTGTGGATCGACAGCGCCCACGCCAGGATCAAGGGGAGCTGCCTGCGTGACGCCTGTACCTCGCCGGTCGGGAGTTCCACCTTCCAGTCTTCGGCTACGCAGAGGATACGTCGCTGGGTGCCGTCGACGGCGTGGAAGGCCACCACGGGGTATTCGGTGTTATCCCTGCCCTTGGCGGCTTGGGCGAGAGCGTTGGCAAACACCCGGGCTCGCCTCTTCGTTTCTGAATCGTCGTCGTCGTCGTCTTCGCCGCCTCTCATTTCGAAAGTAGCCTCCGACTCGAACCCCACCACGGTCCCCAGCGAACCGTTCACGAGCGTCTCATCCATGTTTTTGATCAACATGACCTGGGCGCCCTTTTTCAATTCGATGGTGGGAGGCGCCATCATGTTGGCCAGGAGCCTGTCCCGGACTTTGTCATCGCCCGTATCCTTCGCATCGTAGCGATACGACTTCCCACTCAAGGCTTTCAAACGCTTCTGATTCGAGGACTCAACTTCGTTCCTGGTCGGGAACCTAAGCGGGCGCGGTCAGCACGTTGTAATCATGCGTAGTGTAGGTTTGGCTCACAGTTCCGTCACCTCGAGTCCATCGTTAAAAACTAATGGCCGCTTGAGCTCTTGGAAGCTCCGGACCGTGTGGTCGCTGATCTTCCCCAGACGCATCTCGTTGAGCATGGCAGCGAAATCTACAAAGTGTTAGAACCTAAATCGTGACCGCTTACTTTGGGGGGTTGGCATACCGGGATCTCGCTGACGGAAAACCTCTGTCAACCCAATCGTATGGTCGATCGACATGCTCCATGTTGCAGCGTCGAACGCAAACTTGGACTCCCTCTGCTTGCCGCCCTCTGGGACAGGCGGGAGCTGGAAGAAGTCACCAGTGATGACGAGCTGGATGCCGCCCCAGGGTCGCCCATTGTTCCGGATGATCCTGCCAATTTGGGACAGCTTGTCGAAAAGCTCCCCGTCAACCATGGAGACTTCATCGATGATGAGAGTTTTGGTCTTAAGCCACCGAGTCTTGGCCTTGGGGTTTCGCCTGATCTTTTTAACCAGCGTATTGGTGTCTTCTTTACCAAGACCGATGCCCGAAAAGCTGTGTAAAGTCATACCGCCAATGTTGCAGGCGGCTAGGCCGGTCGAGGCTGTGACGGCAATCCGCTCGGGGTCTTTTGAATACTTTCTCTTGAGTTCCTGAATGATGGCCCGCATGAGCACCGACTTGCCGGTACCGGCAGGACCGGTGAAGAACACGCTTTGGCCCTTATCCACAACAAGAGACTTGACATGGCGCTGCTCGTTGCTGAGGGTGATGGCCGTAGCCTTGGCTTTGACGGTGTGCGACTTAACGGCCTCTTGCATGTCATCCACTGAGGCCTCCCCTTTTCCGGATTCTTTAAGTTGTGCTTTCAGCTGTTTTTTTCGTTCCCCGACAGCGCTAGCACTGGTATTCCACAGCCCATCCTCCTTCTTCTTAGGAGCTGGTGTCGCGGCAGCAGCACCGTACGTATTCTCGAGTGACTCTAGTGTGCTCCATCTCCCGGGTAGCTCCCGTCTTGTCTTTTTTGGTGCCGAGAGCGCCCGGTCGTCGTCTTCGCCAGGAGAGGCCCGCTTGCTTGAATTCTGCGGAGGAAGGGCGGCGGTTCCTGGAGATGGGGGCCGGAGGTGTGAAGGAGAGGAATCTGGCCAAGAAAGCGCGCTTGTATTGCTTGCTGGGGGGTGCGCGTCGCGGTTCTCGGCCGTGGCCTGGTGTTGCTGAGATGGAATTGCAGGGAGGGCGGTCGCGGGTTGAAAGTCTAGTTCAAGATCTTCGTCGTTGCTAAAGTCGGCCTCATCCAGGGCAAAGGACGACTCTATGCTAATTATTTGTGCAGTATTGTTTGTGTATTGAGGGGTATCATCTCGGAGATCGACTACCTCGGGCTCCTCCTTGAACGAGTCTGACCTTCCGTAAAGCGATGCGAGCGACTTTCCGTTGGGATTGCGGGGGGCGGACGGAGGAACGTTTAGCGGATGACTTTGAAGCGGCTTGGTGGTTGTGGTGGATCTCGAAGGGCCATTGGCGGCCGGCGCGTGCGGTTTCTTGGTGAACATGCCGTCAATGGTGTTCTCGACGCGCTTCCCTGGCGCGGGCGACGGGCTGCTGGAGGGGAATAGCTGCTGGGAAAGCGACTGTTTGGCCGGGGCGGCCTTGTTGGCCTCGACTGCCCTCGAGAACATTGGGCGCGGATGTACAGCGGCACTCAATCCGACGGTGTGCACATTTGCTTGGTTCGCACGGCAGGCGAGGTTCCAATTGGGGGAAAGGACTGCTCGGCGGAGGATAAGACCAGAGATTCCGGTCATACAGAGTGGCGGGCCGCTGGAGCGAGCAATCGGCCGACTTAGTGCGGGTTGCCTAGGAAATGAACCTCAAAACCACACAAGGTGTCGTCGCGTCAAACAGGGGAAAATCGCGTTTGGAGCTCCCCACAAATTCTCAAACGTGGGGAGTCTGTGCGCGCGCGTCATTATGCCAAGACACGACTGGTGAGCGGCTCGGTGGTTATACCCTAACCCGAGTGAGTAACGGGCAGCACTTCTCTCTGGCTCTTGTTGACAAGGCTATGTTTAGTAGAATTCTCGGTGGTTGGCTCATTCTTGGGCCCCACATAACGACATCTCTCGAGCATTTGTTGGAAGTACCTACACTTCAACGGGGAATTCTCAAGTCAGATGGATGCATATTGGCTCGATTGGGTAGCACATGATCACCATCGTGTTTTCTCGTCCCTCGCTGGCGTTGTCTCCCCCGCTGTCTATCTTTTCCGGTCGTGGGGTTCCAAGCACGCGCACACCCGAACGCAACCAAACAGGTCTCCCTCTCCCCCACGCAGCAACCCAAAATGGCAATTGCACACACGCGGCCGGCAGATTCTTACAAGTGCCGGGCAGATCGGAGCCGGGCTGGCCGGCAAAGGTCTTGGGATGCAAAGATGCAGGACGACCAGCAGACCCTTCTTCAAATGTTCTGGCTCAATTAATTACGAGCTGTTTCTCTTGCCAACGGCTGTATCATAGGATCAGTTTTTAACATGCATGTTGTCGGCAAACAACCGAGCTGAGCCCGCTAGGTAACTTCAAGTCCGGGCCCAAGGCCGTGTGGGTTTGGTCCGTGCCGAATCCCGGGTCATGGTTGGGTGCCGGGAACGAGGGTGAGATTTGTTTCGCGCCGAAAAACCAATCAGCAAGTTTTACTATGTGCAAGTGGCAGCCGATGATTAAAAAGAAACCTCACCGCTCCCCTGCGTGTCTGGAACGAGAAGATGCCCCCCAATTCCCCAACGACGGCCCGTCCATGACCTGGGCGTCCGCGGTGGTTTCGACGAGCTTGGCATACATGAGCCCGACGGTCGAGACCATCAACAAATTCAAGCAAAAAAGTCAAGAAAGCTTGGACGGCCTAAGCATTGAACGAAGGGAGACAATTCGACAAAAGTCCTGAGCGACGCTGGGCGATGCTGGGCAACGCTCGGCACGGCTTGGCGGAATGTGAGGAGCGAGTCAGTCACAATCCACGGCGTTGAGACGAGAGCTGATCCCGATCGCGGCAGCGACAGACCTCCCGAGACAACTCGTTAGCGAATGAGTTACCAGGCTACAAAAAACCGTCAACAACCAGGCTGCCGGATTACACCGCTTTTGTCTCAAGTGTCAGGTCGGACAACACGGCGTGGGATGTCCGGGTAGGGCTGTGGATGAGCCTCCTTCAACCCAACCAGTTTCTGTTTTTGTTTTTTCTTTTTTGCCAGCCATTGCCCCAAACCGGTGCGGCGGGGTTTGGCGTTCGTTGGCATGGAAGTTGGCGAGTAGTTCAGATCCTGGGAAGGACGTCGACGTTGAGGTTCGTCCCGACCTTGGATGACAGGACTGTGGAGGTCCGGGTGCCCTGTGTTGCTCCACTGTTCCCTCGCGCCACTTCCCGCCAAGCCAGTTCTGCAAGGATTGGCGCAGGGATACTTGCAATCCTGGAAAGTTGCAGCTGGGGCAAGAACCGAGAATCTCGTCGATGCCGGATCGGACCCTTTCCATATAAACAGCTGTGCATACGCTGCTGCCCCCCCCCCAATGGCGAGCTATCTCACCTTTTTGTTCCCACATCGCCGGGGTTGTCGGACTGCATCGCCCGCTCCCTCCCTAATTCGGTTGCTGCCTGCGACTTTGTCAGTCCTCGTTCATCCCATCCCACCTTCTTTTCTTTTTTTGTTTTTATCTCCGGGCTGCTCCTCCGGGCAGATCCTTCTAACTAATTGCGGATTCCCTCCCCGGCGCTGGACGAAAATTCTTCCTTCTCCCTCGCGCCGCAGCATCGTGTCAGGACTGAGTCAGGTTGTCTCAGCAGAGATCGCCTAGAATTGGCACGTTGTTGTGTGCCCTGAATGTGCCAATTGCAGTCCTTCCTTGGGCCAGATTTGTCGCTGAAGCGGACACCGGATAGCCACAAATATTTGGTTGATCGTGGTCGTTGATTCCGTTGCTGCCGCGGGTTCTCGAACACGAGGTGACGTCGTTCCCAGCGCGCGCCCCCGTTCCTGGCCTCTTTCCAGCCTTGGACTGGCCTGTCCGGTCAACCACCAATCACGCCTCCCGAAACTCCCCCATCATCCACACCACGATCCCACGGCCTTGTTGTAGGTTCCGGAGAGGAAAAACACATCTAAGGCACAATACTACCTAGCCTACCTACCTACCTACGTTATACACACACATACCTACCTCCATTGCCTGGCCCCCGACGGCGGGCCCCCCGTCTTAAACCATGGCCTGGGATCACCTCTCCATCACCAAGCCACATCTGGTCTACATCATCTTGGGAGGCTTCACCTCCTTGTTCATGCTATGCTCGACCGTCATCAAAGAGCGTATGTACATCGGCGAAGCCACTGTGGCCACGCTCTGCGGTGTCATTTTTGGGCCCTATGCCGCCAACCTCATCGACCCGGAAACATGGGGCAGCGTCGACATTATCACCATCGAGTTCTCCCGCCTCGTCCTGGTCGTGCAGTGCTTCGCCGTTGGTGTCGAACTGCCCAAGTACTACATGGAGAAGCACTGGAAGTCGGTTGCGTTCCTGCTGGTGCCCGTGATGACCTTCGGCTGGCTGATCACCAGTTTGTTCATCTGGTGGCTCATTGAGCCCCTGAACTGGCTTGAGAGTCTCGTGGTGGCTGCCTGTGTCACCGCCACCGACCCCGTCCTCGCCTCGTCCGTCGTGGGAAAGGGAAAGTTTGCTAAGAGGGTCCCGAAACACTTGCGCGATCTGCTGTCGGCCGAGTCCGGTTGCAACGACGGCATGGCCTTCCCCTTCATCTACCTAGCCCTGTATCTCATCCATGACAAGCAGAGCGCCAGGGATGTCTCATTCCACTGGATAGTCTACACCATCCTGTACGAGTGCGTCTTTGGTGCCGTGTATGGTTTCATCATCGGTTACCTCGCCCGCCACGGCATCAAGTATGCAGAGAAGCGCGATTTGATCGACAGGGAGAGCTTCTTGGTGTTTTATTTTGTGCTCGCCCTCTTCTGTGCTGGATCTGGCAGCATCCTCGGCGTCGACGATCTCCTCGTCGGCTTCGCTGCCGGCGTCGGCTTCTCAAACGACGGCTGGTTCACCCAGAAAACAGAGGAGTCTCACGTTTCCAACGTCATCGACTTGTTGATCAACCTGGCCTACTTTGTCTATTTTGGTACCATCATCCCATGGAAAGCCTTCAACGACGCGGTTCTAGGTCTCCAAGCCTGGCGACTCGCCGTTCTCGCCATCTTCGTCATCCTTTTCCGCAGGATCCCGATCATGATGGTGCTGAAGCCAGTGATCCCCGATATCAAAACCTGGCGTGAGGCCCTCTTCGCTGGTCATTTCGGTCCCATGGGTGTCGGCGCCATCTTCGTTGCAATGTTGGCGCGAGCAGAACTGGAATCGGAGAACCCGGTTCCTCTTTCGGAGCTGCCTGAGCCTGGCACCGAGCACTACACGCTGATTTCGCTTGTTTGGCCGATTACCGCATTCATCGTCGTCGCATCCATCATCGTCCACGGGTCCTCGATTGCCGTCTTCACCCTGGGCAAGCACATCAACACCCTTACCATCACCATGTCATACACACAGGCCAACGAGGATGGCCAGCACTGGATGAATAGGCTTCCTCGTATTTCGTCACAGTCGCGGTCACAGGCTAGAACCATGTCCGACACGGACGGCGACGAACTTAAGCTGCCCGAGTTCCCTCCGGGAACGCTGCCTCCTGTTGGCTTCCCTGGGAATTTCCTGCGTCGCGTTAAGGAGGACGATAACAGCAGACATGGAAGCAGGTCATCCTCACTGGCAGCACGGCGACGAAAGAGTAAGTGGGACGACGGTATCGGCCCTGGAGGTCCCATCACCCAGTCGGCCATCTTCCCACAACGTCGCAGCCAATCCGGGCCTCTCTCACCAGGGCTCCAACGCGGCAGCACCGATCAGTCCCGCCCGGATGACATCTCACCGGCGCCAAACGATGCTGGATCTCCTAGTCCCATGGAAGAAAAGAGCGGAGATAGATCATCGGCTGAGGCGTACGCAAGCCCGACCGAGGACCGCAGACAACCCGTCGAGGTTTACGATGAAGGCGAGAACATCATCATTGAGAATCGCGATGGTGATGTTCTTTCGGTTCAGCCGGTGGAAGGCGGAGAGAAGGTTGCCGATCGGGCCAAGGAGCTCGCGTCAGAACTCAAGTCGGAAGCCGGACCCACTGGCTGGACATACGAAACTCTGAAGAAAAGAATCATGAATTGGCGTGAGAGCGAGGTTGCGAAGAGGAAGGGCAAGCAAAAAACGGTTAAGGGCGAACCTGCCCGGGCCTTCCAATTTGGTAACACGGTATGTCCTGTCAAGGAGATCGGACCCTGTTCCCGGTCGTTGCTAACCTGCTGGATAGATCATTGTCGAAAACGAGGACGGCGAAGTCCTCAAGAAATATGACCTACCGGCACAAAAACCGCAGCCTGACTTGGTAAGCCAAGGACTGAAATACATGGGCATGGGAGTCTTCGCCAAAGCAATGGAGAAACCAGGTGCGGAAGCGTCAACGCAAGCTACAGGGGGCCCGTCCGCGGCAGGCGAGCCCTCCACAACGCATAGACCACGCAAGAAGAGCGTGGTGGCGGCGGAAGAGGAAGACGAGGACGACAGGCACATCCGGTTCACGATCGGCGGCGTTGGTCGGCGCATGACCAAGGAGGACTTCATCCACGAAATCCAGGGGCTGGACAAATCCACCCGGCGTGAGGTGGTGGACAAGTCAAGCGCCTCGCAGGGGCTCAAGGCGCTGGCCAAGCTCGACTCTCCACAGATAACCGTGTCCTCCGCCCAGTCCAGTACCAGCAAGAAAGACCACGCCACCGCCGCCGCCGCCGCTGCCACCGCCAAACCCGCCACTCAACGACCCGCACCCGCACCCAGCAACCGCCCCCCATCGAGCTCCTCGTCCCCAGACAACCGCGCATCGTCGTCGGACGCGCCAAGCAGCGAGGTACCCGAGACGGAGGTGGAGCGCGGGAGACGCCGGGCCGCGCTGAAGGGCAGCGGCGACGACAACGACAACGACGGCGAGGAGCAGGGCGAGACGGCCGCGGAACGGCGCCGTAGAGAGGCCGCTCTGGGAATGGCGCCGCACGCGGACGACGGCGAGGACAGCGACGACGACGATACCCCGCGCGTCCCGCCGTCCAGGTCGATCCGGTTTGCGGATGCCGTGGAGAGGGGGAGGCAGGCGTGAGTTGGGTGGGTGAGTGGGTGAGTGAGTGAGTAAGGGGTAGGCGAGGGAGGTTTTGAGTGATGTGATCGGCTTGCATGGTATGATATGCATGGCATGTTCGGAGTTTTGGGGATAGAATTAAGCTGTTGTTTAATCATGGCATGGGGTAGTGTAGTACAGTACAGTACAGTCAATACGTGGAGGACGGAACCGGGCCTGTTGTTTATTGGTAGAGAGGAATAGCAATCGTTGGGTAGATTTCATGGGAAAGTACATGTACATGGGTTGTTAATGACGGGAATTCGGCGTTTAGATTGATGGATTCACATCCTGCAACGGCTTCGGGTTTGGTCCGTCCTCTTTGCTTCGACGATACAACACAAGGTCAAGCCATACCGCGATACTCGATACTGCGAGACTGTGTAATATGGTATTGGTCCGCTTGGTCCTCGGGTCTCCACAATTGCTTCCGACCCCTTCCGGTTTAGCGGCTCCTCCCGAACCGCCATCCTTATCCGCAAAAAAAAGACGACTTTGACCAGGGCAGGCGACTTTCGCGAATCTTCAAATCCTGATCTGTCAACCACCTCGGCGTCAACAACGAATCCACAACCACCGCCACGAACACAACTACGCTGCCGCTTCATTTTGCGGAGCTGTCAACATAACGCACCCAAAACCAGTCCTCAAATCACTACCACACATCCATCACAATGGTCCAACTTGTAGAAGTCGAGGACGAGCACTTCCAGCAGCCGCAAGTCGGCCCGGAGGAGGAAGACGAAGACTTTACCGACACTGGTAAGCTGCTATCACCACCCCGCCCATTGCCCAGACCCAAATTCCAACCACACACACACACACACACACACACACACACACACACAACAAACAACTCCCCCTCCTCTCACTCCATCCTT